TCCACTCTACGTGGTGATACAGAAGGAACAGGAAGGATTGATGGTACCTCCACCCCTGAGGCATGGTGACCATAACTGCCTCAAAATTATAAGAAATCATGGAAACCTGGAGTTGAAGGTGCTGTCAGAAGTCATCTCATCCAACCTCCTTCCATGTAGGAATATACTGCTAATATATTTCCATGATATGACCATTCATGGCTTCCAAAGAAGGAGAGCCCTAAACTTTTCTTACCATCAGTATGTTCTTTCTAAAGTGGAAGCACTTTTCTTGCAATTTGAGTCCATAACTTTGTGTCTTAGTGTCTGGAGAAGTAGAAAACAAGTTCGCTCCCTTTTCTACATGATATCCCTTTGAATATTTAAAATTAAGAGTTACATCACCTCCTAAGCATCTCTTCTCCAAGGTAAATATACCCAACTCCTGAAGTTATTCCTAATAGGGGCTTCGTTTTCAGACATTTTAGGTCACCCTTCTCTGAACACATTCCAGCTTCAACAGTGATGCACAGAAATTGACACAGTATTCCAGTTCAAATCTGACAAATGCAAGATAGATTGGGGCTATGACTGACATAGATCTGGACACTCTACTGTCGATGAATCCTAGAGTTTTTGCTTGCCACATCACACTGTTGACTCCTGTTTGGCCATAGTCTATTCTAGATGTATTTTAACTATGTGATTCTAAATTATATGTTGTTTTATTTTTATATGTATTCAAGGCCTCAAATTGTGCCTTTGCTGTAAGCCGCCCTGAGGTGAGAAGGACAGGAAATAAATCTATATAAATAAAAATGTAATGTTCGTTTGTGGGATTAACAGAACTCAAAAACCACTGGACGAATTGACACCAAATTTGGACACAAGACACCTAACAACCCAATGTATGTCCTTCACTAAAAAAAATTGATTTTGTCATTTGGGAGTTGTAGTTGCTGGGATTTATAGTTCATCTACAATCAAAGAGCATTCTGAACCCCACCAATGATGGAATTGAACCAAACTTGGCACACAGTTCTCCCATGACCAACAGAAAATACTGGAAGGGTTTGGTGGGCAGTGTCCTTTGGTTTTGGAGTTGTAGTTCACCTACATCCAGAGAGTACTGTGGACTCAAACAATGATGGATCTGGACCAAATGCTACATGGATACTCAATATGCCCAAATGTGAACACTGGTGAAGTTTGGGGAAAATATAATCTTGACATTTGGGAGTTGTAGTTGCTGGGATTTATAGTTCACCTACAATCACAAAGCATTCTGAACCCCATCAACGACAGAATTGGGCCAAACCTCCCACACAGAACCCCCATGTGGGCCACAGCAACGCGTGGCAGGGAACGGCTAGTGAGGTAAATAAATAAATAGATCTTCTCCCTTTGTACTGTTATAAAGCTAGGCATGTGGAGTGTGGATTGCAGTGGGTGACACCATTAGAAGGGATGTCACCAAATTGACTTTATGAGAGGCAGCAAAGATGTCAGGAGAAGCCAGTCCATGATTCCCTGGTGGCTGCAGTGGTCCTCACTTGCCCCCTTGCTAGTGTCAGGCTCCATTGTTTCTTTTTTGCTGCTTCTGTTCCTATAGCTGAACACCTTCCTCAGCTAGAGCCACTGCGTAAAGGTGTAGCCACTCACCAGCACATGGACATTTTAAAGACTCAGAGACATGATTTCACTCTTATGACGTATTGCTCACAGGGACTGGAAAACTCAAAGTCATTTTAACATAGATACTTGGTGGAATAAAATATGAAATATGAACTTGATGGAAAAAAGTATTGCATGCTATTAGGATGTCTAAGGGAATAGAAAGTAGGAATGGTCTACCCCCCTGTTCAAGGAGCTCCATTGGCTGCTGTTCATTTTCTGGTCCCAATTCAAGGTGCAGGTTCTTGCCTACAAAGCCCTGAATGGTTTGGGACCTGCCTACCTGCATGACTGTATTTCTGAACCTATACAATCTCTTCGATCTTCTGGGGAGGCCCTCCTCTTGCTCCCGCCCCCATCGCAAATGCGACTTGTGGGGACGAGGGAGAAGGTCTTCTCTGTGGTGGCCCCCCGGTTCTGGAACTCACTCCCCAGAGATATTAGACAAGTCCCTACCCTAGCAGTCTTCAGGAAGAGCTTGAAAACCTGGCTGTTCCAGTGTGCCTTCAATGGATGAAGGAACAATAATACCCTGACATGACCTACCTCTGAAAAATGGCCCTCGGTAGCACTTTATTCTCCTCTTAGTGCAATCATACCCTGCTCTACCTCTCGGATCCCCTTCTCTAGACACATTACATTGCTGCCTCACCAATGTGATCAATTTCTATGTTTTAAATGTGTGATCTTATATTGTTGGTGCATCAAAAAGGGTTTGTATTTTATTTTATTTTATTTTGCTGTGTTCTGTTGTATATTGCTTACTGTATTGTTGGGCTTGGCCCTATGTAAGCTGTTCAGAGTTTTTTGCGGTAAAATTAGGTGCCTCGGCTTATACTCGTATATATACAGTAATCCTAAATATGTCTTTGCATCAAGGTAAAGTATTGTTCATAAACTTCTACATTTCTCTCTGATGCCTAAAAGGTATCCCAGAATATCAGAATGTACCTCTTTTTATACATTTCAGTCTCTCCTAGAGAAAGAGCCACTCTGCCTCACAGATCATCCCTCCTTCTAGAGACAATAAAACCACATTTTTGAGAACTCTGTGAAGCTACCTTTAGTTAATGGGACGTATGACTCTCCTTGTCATCAATCAGTTTATTGTACTCTGGAATCATGTTTGAAATTGATATTTTCAAAATGTCACCTAAATGTTTATTGGGTTGAGATTGCTTATTTTTATTCGAGTTCACAGTGAAGAAGGTTATATAGGTACTCTCAAATATGCTGAAAAGCTGTAAATCACTATTGCACAGATGTTGAAACATTCTCGCTTAAATTCTGGTAGAAGTCTTGAGGACAGGTTTCTCTGTGTTTTATTTCAATAAACTGTTGAGTACTGAAGTTCAGTAAGCTCTAGTTGTAAATGCATGTTGAGTTCTTGTGGATCCACAGAGAAAGGATCTTCAGTTAACTTGAATTTCACGGTATCTTCTTTGGAAAGTGTCAGTCTTTTGTCAAACTCCAGGATCAAAAGTTCAATGTCATTTGAATATTATCCTCCTGACTAGGCATGATTTTACAATGGAATATGTTTTATACACATACTAGCCATTCCCTGCCACGCGTTGCTGTGGCCCACTTTGGTGGTCATGGGGGTTCTGTGTGGGAGGTTTGGCCCAATTCTATCGTTGGTGGGGTTCAGAATGCTCTGTGATTGTAGGTGAACTATAAATCCCAGTAACTACAACTCCCAAATGTCAAGATACTATTTTCCCCAAACTCCCAACAGTGTTCACATTTGGGCATATTGAGTATTTGTGTAGAGTTTGGTCCAGATCCATCATTGTTTGAGTCCACAGTGATCTCTGGATGTAGGTGAACTACAACTCCAGAACCAAAGGGCACTGCCCACCAAACCTTTCCAGTATTTTCTGTTGGTCATGGGAGAACTATGTACCAAGATTAGTTCAATTCCATCGTTGGTGGAGTTCAGAATGCTCTTTGATTGTAGGCGAACTATAAATCCCAAGAACGACAACTCCCAAATGTCAAAATCAATTTTTTGAGTGAAGGACATACATTGGGTTGTTAGGTGTCTTGTTCCAAATTTGGTGTCAATTCGTCCAGTGGTTTTTGAGTTCTGTTAATCCCACAAATGAACATTACATTTTTATTTATATAGACTAGCCGTCCTCTGCCACATGTTGCTGTGGCCCAGTCTGTTGATTTGGAAAAGTAAAAGAGGACTTTGATTATGTTTTCTTGCCCTGGTGAAGGGAGTTGGACTGGCTGGCCTTAAGGCAGCATTTCTCATACTGGGGGTCGGGACACTGGGGTGTGTCGCCAGGGTGTGTATGTGTGTCAGAAGGGTAATCAGAGACCACCAGAAAACACAGTATTTTGTGTTGGTCATGGAGGGTTTGTGTGGGAAGTTTGGTCCAATTTTATCATTAGTGGGGTTCAGAATGCTCTTTGACTGTGGGTGAACTATAAATCCCAGTAACTACAACTCCCAAATGTCAAGGTCTATTTTCCCCAAACTCCATCTGTGTCCATATTTGGGCATATGGAGTATTCTTGCCAATTGTTGTCTAGATCCTTAATTGTTTGAGTCCACAGTCTGGGTGTAGGTAAACTATAACTCCAAAACTCAAGGTCAGTGCTCACCAAACCCTTCCAGTATTTCCTATTGGTTCAATTCCATCGTTGGTGGAGTTCAGAATGCTCTTTGATTGTAGGTGAACTATAAATCCCAGCAACTACAACTCCCAAATGACAAAATCAAATTTTTTTTAGTGAAGGACATACATTGAGTTGTTAGGTGTATGCTGTCCAAATTTGGTGTCAATTTGTCCTGTGGTTTTTGAGTTCTGTTAATCCCACAAACGAACATTACATTTTTATTTATATAGATAGATGAAAGTGGCACGTTTCAACTTTTGATAATTGGCTTTTTAATAGCCCCATCATTAGACATAGCTTCTGTTACAGGTGATACAGTCCTGAATATTTTATATAAGGAAAATATTTTATGCCTTAGGTGTTCTTTTCCTTCTAAATTATTGTCATGGCTGCTACTGTACATTTTGATGGATTTTAATCAATAACATGCCAGAAGCAATTTTACTCACTTGTGTCATAATAGAGCCAAGAGTGATATGTTTTATTAAATGGATACAAAACACTACCATTCCTGATGCCCAGTTCAATGGCTTCAGTGGATAATCATTGATTACAAACTCTTAATGTGGTTCCTATCTTGTCTTTCATATTATTAAAGATGGGACTACTGGGCTAGCTGATTCTGAACGTGTATGTATTTTCATGCTGCATTAACAGCATCTGTTTTTTTCATTTTAAGTGTAGACTGAACATGTCACCCCACTGTATTTTCACAGGAGTCTTCCCAGGAGAGTGTCATTACAAGAGACATACATCGTACATTCCCAGGACATGAATATTTTAAAGATACTGAAGGAGATGGGCAGGAATCTTTATACAAAATCTGTAAGGTATGGCTAATTTTTTTCTGATAAGAAGTTACACAGATATTTTGCATATATTTTTTGAATTTGCATGACACATATTGTATACTGTTCCCGGCTCTTACCATTCCTAGGGGGAAAGGATATTGGAAAGTAAAAGAAAAAGAATAGAAGCTAAATAAAGGATGACAGAATAGCAGCTTTAAAAAAGCAGGCTTAGAAAGCTGCTTTATAAAACAGGGTTTTATCTAGTGTACCAAGATGCACAAACTAGTTAGTTACCTGTACATTACCATTTAACTCAGTGTTGTCCAACTTGCAGCCCGCAGGCCACATGTGGTTCATGACATCTAACTCAAAATTATAAATTTACTTAAAACATTATGAGATTTTTTGTAACTTAATAATAATAACGAGCCAAAAGATCTCAGCCGGCATTTGGAAACAATAAACATTGACAAAATCACAATCTGTCAACTGCAAAAGGCCACCTTACTTGGATCTGCTCGCATCATTCGAAAATACATCACACAGTCCTAGACGGTTGGGAAATGTTCGACTTGTGATTTTTTGATACGAAATATAGTAATTAAATTAAAAAAAAACCCAGATTGATGTTGAATGAGGGCTATTTAGAGGCATCATATCCCTGAATACTGAGCACTGAGGAACAATAGCAGGAAAGAACATTAAAAGCTTTCAAATTGGAATGTTGGTCTGATCTATCAGAGTTCTTCACTCCTTGTATCAAAATCCTTCTTTGAAAATAAAATGTGCAAATAGCAATTGATATGGCCTGCCCTTGCTGTGACTGAACTGTTGTTTTGTATTTGTGTGTGTGTACAAATCTTTTATGCAGCCTCAGATGGAAGAATGTGGTGGAAATTGTTTTGTTGTTGTGTGTCTTCAAGTCATTCCTGACTTGAATCAGTGAAAAGGTTTTCTTGGCAAGCTTTCTTCAGTGCAGGTTTACCATTGCTTTCCTCTGGGGGGTGAGCGAGTGTGGCTTGCCCAAGGTCACTCAGTGGGTTTCCATGACCCATTGGGGAGTCACACCCTGTTCTTTAGAGTCGTACTTCAATGTACAAACTACTACATCATGCTGTTTTCCATAGTACAAGTATAGTATAGGAAGATACAGTTTCATTGTAGTGTCTCATAGATGCCCTATGAAGCGTAGGTAAATGAAGAGTGACAGTACTAGGGTAAACCTATGAGTTCTTTTTTTGAAGCTCCTCCAAAGTAAGACACATTTTACCTGTAAGCACTATATTACTGTCACATTTTTTGAAAAGTTTTTTATTGAGGTTTTAACAGAGATACATTAAAAACAGTAAAAATTGAAAAAAGTGGGGGAAGGGGGAAGGGAGGGAAAGGGCTTGCAGGGTCTGAAAGAAGGGAAGGGTGTGAAAAGAAAAAAAGGAAAAAAGTTACACTTCCATTCTTCTTTATAATGGTTGTATAAAAAAAACCAATAGCTTTATAGCATCTTTTTACTTCTTAAATGATCAACATTGGTAGTTCTTCCTTCTTCTCATCTGATCAGAGTAACATCTTGAAGTTGCCTCTTTTCATTCATTCTTTGAGGGAAGTCCAGTTTGTTGTTTTAATATATTTGCTCTGTGACTTTGCTAGTAGGGAGGTCAATTGTTCCATGTTAATTATATCTAATATATTTTCTATCCATTCGTACATGATCCGAGCTCCAGTTGTCAGATAAATAAATAGTTTGTCAGTGTTCAGGTCCCATTTGATATGTTCATCCCTAGCAGATAATATTCTGGTTTTAGTGGGATATTTATTCTTAAAATCTTTTGACAGCATTCCTGGATTGTTTTCCAGAACGGTTTTACTTTTTCACAGGCCCACCACATGTGGTGGAAGGTCCCTTTGTTGTTCCCACATTTCCAGCACTTATTGTTCACATCTTTTGTAAACTTTGACATTTTTCTTTGTGGCCTCTGTGAATGCACATCATATATAGGTGTAGTTGATTTTCCTGTTCCATATTAATTCCCATTCTTCTAACATTATTGACCTCCCTATGTCCTCCACCCATTTTATCATACATTCCTTTTTTTAAAATAATTTTTTTATTGAATGCATTTCTACTTTAGTTTTACATAAAATCGGGGTAAATGAAAAAGGTAAGGTTTAGGTACAAAAGTTGGGTTGGGATATAGATAGATATTAGGTATTGGGAATTGTGTTTTCACAGAGGTGGAAAAGTGGACAGATAAGGAAGGTCTGAGGGATTAAAGGGAAGGGAAAGGAAAAGAGGAAAAAAAGAGGAAAAAAAGGAAAAAAGAAAAGAAAAGAAAGGGGTTTCGTTGTCTTCCAAATCTCCTCCTCCGCGTCTTCCAGTAGGATATGTTCCTATCTCAGATGCGCTCTCAGATTATCGTTTCCTCCCCGCTTCTGAATCTGTTCATGTTTTCCTTAATTCTCTTCTGTACCGCACCCTTATTCCGGATTATGTCCATCCTTTCTCCAGCTCTTTTTGTCTCTTTAGTTCGGCCATGTATTCATCAAATTCTTTCCAGTCAGTTTTCTTAATGGTCTTCCATATGAGTTTTTTAAAGCGAATGTCAGTTTATCCGCATCTCTTATTTCCTGAATTTTGTTTTGCCATTCTTCCTTCGTTGCTAATTCTCTTTGTTTCCATTTTTTCGCAAATACCATTCTAGTGGAGGTAGTGAGATAAGTGAATAAAATATCTTTATTTTGATCTAATTCGATTTCTTTATCTGTTAATCCTAACAAAAAATATTAAGGTTTCAGCTGGATCTTTATTCTTAATATTTTTCGCATGACTCTTGCATCATTTTCCAAAATGTTTTTACTTTGGGACATGTCCACCATGTGTGATAAAATGTTCCAACTTGCAATTCGCACTTCCAACACTTATTCTGAGCATTTTTGTACATTAAACCTAATTTTTGRGGGGRCATGTACCACCTATAGAACATTTTGATCCAGTTCTKTTTCAGATCTGTCGAGTAGGTGTATTTGATTTTTTTTGTCCATAATTGTTCCCATTCTTTGAGTTTGATAGGTCTGCCAATGTTGGATGCCCATTTAATCATACATTCTTTTACAYTTTCTGTTTCCGTAGCCCAATCTATTAATTTATTGTTAATCTTAGTTATGGTTTTTTCTTTCTTTCAACAAGACTCTTATCTTGAAAGTCATCCTTTCCCATAAAGCCTACTTCTTTATCTTTCTTATAATATTCTTTTAATTGTAAATTTACAATTATCATACATTCCTTGATGTTTTCTTTCTCTGTGGACCATTCCAGCAATATTTTGTAGATCTTCGTAATTGATTTCTTCTCATTAACAATTAATTTTTCCCAGATTGTTGTGATCTCTTCAATCTCACTATCACATTTTGAAATCTGTGATTTTTTATTAAAAAAAACCAAACATTTTTGTTGCAGACAGTGTAAACAGACAGTATTATCCACATTTATTTATTTCGGGTATTTTTACCCCACCCTTCTCAACCCCTTAGGGGGGACTCAGGGCGGCTTCCAACCGGCACATATTCAATGRCTACAATTCAACATAGTAAAATATACAACAACAYTAATTATAAATAATTAAAACATTAAGTTAATACAATAAAAACTAATAGAAAAAAGTCAGTCTGTAATTAGTGAGTCCATTCAGTTTATCCTAATCCATTCCAAAGCTCTAGTCGTCATTGTCCTTGTCAGTCTGCCAGATTACCCAAAGGCCTGGTCCCATATCTATGTTTTTAATTTCTAAAAGAGAGGAGGGATTAAGTGGTTAACTGAGAAAGAACAGGTGAAAGAGAATATGATAAAATGGGCAAGGGACATAGGTCGCTCTATTAGCCTAGCAGAGTGGGAAGAGATCTGAACAAGAAAATTAAAATTTACTTACTCAATTGATTTTAAAGAAAACTGGTACAAGTTATTTTACAGGTGGTACCTAACTCCAGAACAATTATCAAAATTTTATTTAAAAAAAGAAATGATGGGAAATGCTGGAAGTGTGGGAAAGATAAAGGAAACTTCATCCATATGTGGTGGTGATGTAGGAAAGTGAAGTCCTTCCGGCACCAAATTCACAAAAAATAGAAACAATTCTACAAATAAAATTTGAATTTAAGCCAGAATATTTTTTGTGAGGCATCACCAATTTTGATATGGACAAAAATACAAACAAGATCTTCTTCTACCTAATAACAGCTGCAAGAATAAAGCTGGCCCAACTGTGGAAATCCCAGGAAACTCCCACAATAGAATAGTGGACATTGAAAGTCCTCGATATCATGAATATGGATCTACTTACACAAAAGATTATCTCAAAACAGCAATTGTGCCAAAACAATGAATTGGGATAATTTCCTAAAATATCTAGAGAAGGAAAATAAAGAAAACCTCCATATATAAGAGAAGGAAAGAACAACTTACATAGTTCGAAGATTTAAAGTCTAATAGATGAACAGGCATTGGCCTTAAGACCGAGAATAAACATTCACAATCCTGGCTAACTTGGGAGTGCATTCCTACCCCTTTTTGAATGGGTGTGCGCGTGGGTGTGTGTATGTCCTTTATCCCTTTTTTATGTCCTTCCCCTCACCTCTTTTCCTACCTCTTTATTCTTTATTCCTACTGTCCTATCCCAATTATTGTTCTCCCACTTTTTATGTAATCATAAAAGCACAATAAATTTAAAAAAAATAAAAGAGAGGAGGGATGACAATGATCTAATTTCCCCGGGGAGTGAATTCCACAGGCAGGGGGCCACCACCGAGAAGGCCCTGTCCCTCATCCCCGCCACTCTCATTTTTGTGACAAGGGTGGCGCCGAGAGCAGGGCCTTTCCAGAAGATCTTAAATTCCTAGGAGGGACGTAGAAGGCGATACGTTCGGACAGGTACGCTGGGCCGGGGGCGTATAGGGTTTTATAGGTCATTTATTCCTACTTTATTAATAAAAGGACAGATGCAGTTATAGTGCATTAGGTTGAATACAGTATTATTCAGCACTTAATT